TCAAGAGTCTTAGTACTTTTTGATGGGCTTTTTATGTAGTAAGGCTAGCAAGCTGTCACATATATAGCAAATATTATCTTCCAGTTCTTTCAATTTACTTTTTCTTTTGGTTTGTTTTAGTATTTTTTTTATTGTCCTTTGGATGAAGGTTTTCGGAGCAAATTAAGTTTTTATTAAACAATTAATACACATATTGTTTTGTGACATTGGTTCCAACCCCACAACATGTCAACACCTTCCCCTTCTCAACCTCGGGTTCCCCATTACTAGCTTTTGTGTCCCCTCCTGCCTTCTTGTCCTTGCCCCTGGGCTGGTGTGCCCATTAACTCTTGTTTTGTTTTATGGGCTTGTCTAATCTTTGCATGAAGGGTGAACCTCAGGAGTGACTTCAGTACTGAGTTAAAAGGTATCTGGCAGCCATACTCTCGGGGTTTTTCTATTCTCTATCAGACAAGTAAGTCTGATCTTTTTTTGTGAGTTAGAGTTTTGTTCTGTATTTTTCTCCAGCTCTGTCCAGGAGCCTCTATTGTGATCCCTGTGAGAGCATTCGGTGATGGCAGCGGGGCACCATCTAGTTGTGCTGGACTCAGTCTGGTGGAGGCTGTGGTAGCTGTGGTCTGTTAGTCCTTTGGACTAATCTTTCCCTTGTATCTTTGGTTTTCTTCATTCTTTCTTGCTCCAGACAGGGTGGGACCAGTGGAGTATCTTAGATGACCGCTCACAAGCTTTTAAGACCCCAGATACTACTCACCAAAGGAGGATATAGAACATTTTCTCTGTAAACTATGTTATGCCAGATGAGCTAGATGTCTCCCAAGACCATTGTCCCCAGACCTCAGCCCAGTAACTTGGTCTCTCAGGGAGTTTGGATGTGTCTGTGAATCTTTCATGACCTTGTCTTGGTCCAGTTGTGCTGTGCTGACTTCCCCGGTATTGTCTACTGTTTTACCCTTCACCAAAGTTACCACTTATCTATTGTCTAGTTAGGATTTTTCCCTTCCCACCCCTCCTATCCCTTGTAACCAGCAAAGATTGTTTCTTTCTGTGTATAAACCTTTACATGAGTTTTTATAACAGTGGTCTCATTCACTAATTGCTCTTTTGTGATTATAGCACTCACCACAGTGCTCTCCGTATTCATCCATGTTGTGAGATATTTCGTAGATTCATCACTTTTTTATCTTTGTGTAGTATTCCATTGTGTGTATGTACCATAGTTTGTTTATCCATTCATCTGTTGATGGGCACTTAGGTTGTTCCCATCTTTTTGCTATTGTGAATAATGCTGCAGTGAACACGGGTGTGCATTTGTCTATTTGTGTGAAGGCTCTTATTTCTCTAGGATATTTTCCTAGGAGGGGGATAGGTGGATCGTATGGTATTTCTATTTCTAGCTTTTTAAGGAAGCGTCATATCATTTTCCAAAATGGTTGTACCATTTTGCATTCCCATCAGCAGTGCATAAGAGTTCCAGTGTCCCTGCAGCATCTGCAACATTTGTTATTTTCTGTTTTTTTTTAATTCATATCAGTAATGTCAGGGTGAAATGGTATCTCATTGTAGTTTTGATTTGCGTTTCTCTAATGGCTAGTGATCACGAGCATTTCCTCATATATCTGTTAGCTGCCTGAATGTCTCCTTTGGTGAAGTGTCTTTTCATATCCTTTGCCCAGTTTTTAATTGGTTTATATGTCTTTTTGTTGTAGAGGTGTTGGATTTTCCTATAGATTTTAAAGATTAGACCTCTGTCAGATTTTTCATATGCAAAAATGTTTTCCCAGTCTGTAGGTTCTCTTTTTACTCTTTTGGTGAAGTCTTTTGATGAGCGTAAGTGTTTAATTTTTAGAAGATCCCAGTTATCTAGCTTATCTTCCGGTGTTTGTGTATTGTTAGTTATGCTTTGTATCCTATTTATGTCATATATTAGGGTTTCTAGCATTGACCCTATTTTTTCTTCTATGATCTTTATAGCTTTTGGTTTTATATTTAGGTCTTCAATCCATTTTGAATTAGTTTTTGTGTATGATGTGAGGTGTGGGTCCTGTTTCATTTTTTTTACAGGTAGACATCCAGTTTTGCCAGCACCATTTGTTAAAAAGACTGTCTTTTCTGGAACACTTATACACTGTTGGTGGGAATGTAAAATGGTACAACCACTTTTGGAAATCGATTTGGCACTTCCTTAAAAAGCTAGAAATAGAAGTACCATACGATCCAGCTATCCCGCTCCTTGGAGTATATCCTAGAGAAATAAGAACCGTCACACGAATAGATATATGCGCACCCATGTTCATTGCAGTACTGTTCACAATAGCAAAAAGATGGAAACAAGCTAGGTGCCCATCAAAGGACGAATGGATAGACAAATAAAAGTATATCTACACAGTGGAATATTACGCAGTGATAAAGAACAACGATGAAGCTGTGAAATATTGTATAACATGGTGGAAGCTGGAATTTATTATGCTGAGTGAATTTAGTCAGTCACAGAAGGACAAATACTGTATAAGACCACTATTATAAGAACTCAAGAAAAGGTTTAAACACAGAGGAAAACATTCTTTGATGGTTACAGGGGTGGGGAGGGAGGGTGAGGGCTATTCACTAACTTGATAGTAGATAGAGTCGTCTTAGGGAAAGAGAAGGACAGCACACACTACAGGGGAAGTCACCACAACTGGACTAAACCAAAGCTAAGAAGTTTCCTGAATACAGTCAAATACTTTGACAGACAGAGTAGCAGGGGTAGGGGTCTGGGGACCATGTTTTCAGGGGACATCTAGGTCAATTGGCATAACAAAGTTTATTAAGAAAATGTTCTGCATCCTACTTCGGTGAGTGGCATCTGGGGTCTTAAAAGCTTGTAAGCAGCCATCTAAAATGCGTCAGTTGGTCCCAACCACCTGGAGTAAAGGAGAACGAAGAACACCAAAGACAGAAGGAAAGTATTAGCCCAAGAGACAGAATGGGCCACATAAACCAGAGACTTCATCAGCCTGAGACCAAAAGAACTAGATGGTGCCTGGCTACCACCAATGAACGTCCTGACAGGGAACACCACAGAGAGTCTGGATGGAGCAGCAGAAGGATGGGTTGCAGAACTCAAATTCTAGTAAGAAGACCAGACTTAATGGTCTGTTTGAGACTTGAGGAATCCTGGAAAGCATGGCTCCTGGACTCTCTATCAGCCCAGAACTAAAACAGTTTCCGAGGCCAACTGTTCAGACAGGGATTGGACTGGACTGTGGGACATAAAGTGATACTCGTGAAGAGTGTGCCTCTTAGTCAAGTTGATACAAGAGACCAAAGGGGCAGCTTCTGTCCAGAGGTGAGAGGGGAAGGCAGAGAGGGTTAGGAGCTGCTTGAATGGTCATGGGGAATCGGGTGGAAAGGAGGAGTGTGCTGTTGCAGAATGGGGAGAGCAATTAGGGTCACATAACAATGTATGTAAAAAATTTTGTATGGGAGATTAACTTGAAATGTAAACTTCATTTAACTACAATAATTAAAAAAAAAAAAAGACTGTCTTTTCCCCACTTAATGGACATTTTGTCCTTTTGTCGAAGATCAAGTGACTGTAGGTTGATGGATTTACATGTGAGTTTTCAATTCTGTTCCATTGGTCAATGTGTCTATTGTATCAGCACAAGGCTGTTTTGACTATCTTAGCTGTATAGTCAGTTCTGAGGTCAGGTAGTATGAGTCCTCTTACTTTATTCTTTTTCTTCAGTAGTGCTTTATTTATCCAGGACCTCTTTCCTTTCCGGATGAAGTTAATGATTTTTCCATTTTGTTAAAGAATACTGTTGGTATTTGCATCGTATTTGTAGATTGCTTTGGGTAGAATTGACATTTTCGCAACGTTGAGTCTACCTATCGGTGAGCATGGTATGTTTTTCCATTTTTGTAGGTCCCTTTTGGTTTATTGCAGTAGTGTTTTGTAGGTTTTTTTGTATAGGTCTTTTATATCCCCGGTTAGATTTATTTGCAAGTATTTTATTTTTTTAGGGGCTGTTATAAATAGTATTACTTCCCTGATTTCCTTTTCGTAGCTCTCTTTAATTTTATTATTTTTTGATATGCTAATATTTTAAATAGTCACATACTATCGCAGTTTTCATTTGTAATTTCTTCCACTGCTGTTAAACTTATAAAGTTCTCCATTAAGAAATCAGATAGTCACTTTTTTCCTTCTGGTTTTTAACGGTTTTATATAAAGTATAGCAGTAAAGAATGAAAGAAAAGACCAAAAGTTTCAGAAGAAACTCTGAAACTTGATCGTGAACGTAGAGTAACTAAGGCGAAATGATAAAGAGCTGAACAGAAGATTTCAAAGGGCTACTGGAGAAGACAGAGTAAAGCATTATAATGAAATGTGCAGAGACCTGTAGTTAGAAAACCAGAAGGGAAGAACACACTTGGCATTTCTCAAGCTGAAAAAACTCAAGAAAAACTTCAAGCCTTAAGTTGCAATATTGAAGGATTCTATGGGCAGTGTTTTGTTCTGTTGTACACAGGGTTGGTATGAGTTGGAACCATCCTGACAGCACCTAACAACAATGTAGCAGTAATAATAATTTACACTTACGTGTTTAATCCTTTTGAGATTTATATTGTGTGGTATTATATAGAGCTATAAATTGACTTTTTCCCAAATACAGTTTTTCCAAAACTTGGTAATGCTTTCCACTTCGTTCTTAATGTATTCATTTCTTATTTTTTCTGAAGTTAATGTCAGCCCAGTTTTGTTTTCCCCTATGTAAAATTACGAGCCCTGGTGGTGCAGTGGCTAAGAGCTCGGCTGGTAACCAAAGGTCAGCAGATTGAATCCACCGTCCACTCCTTGGAAACCCTATGAGGCAGTTCTACTCTGTCCTGTAGGGTTGCTATGAGTCAGAATTGACTCCATGGCAATGGATTTTGTTTGTTTGTTTTTATGTAAAATTATGCAGAGCAATATTATGTATACATATAACCTAGGTTTCCATGGTGTTTTGCAGATTCAGTGTCGCAACTGATACTTCAAGAAAGAGACCAAAAATCAGTTCTTCATCTCAAGAACCTGTTGAACTCCAAGAAGCATCATTTTCAAATGATAATCAAATTATTTCACAGAGTCCTTCCTCAAATGGAACTAAAACAAATATAAGTATACGTGCAGATTTTAAACCAAAAGATATTAAATTGATAAATGTTCCAAGTAAACTTGACCATGAACTTAAAAACCTTAGCAGTCCTAAGACTGCCAAAGATGTGCAACCTAAAGCTGAAGGTCAGGCGTGTGAAAAAAAATGGGCTCATTTACTTGCTCAGAGCCAGAAGATGAAAGAACTCAAAAAAGAAAAGTCTAGTAAATTGAGAGACAGTTCAGAAAAGTGTGTCTTGGAGAAATGCAAGAGAAATGAATTTTCTCAGGATTATAATTCCAACAAGATAATTAAGGAACCACTGGAGCCTAGAAAAAGGAAGATCAGCTTCAAAATCCCAATAAAATCCCGTGATACCCTCCAGAAGCTTGTAGAAGAAAATGTCTTCCGTTTAGATTCTAACAAGTCAAAGACTAAGCAGGAGGAAAAAGAATGCTTGGAAAGCTCCCACGTTTCATTAAATTTGACTAGGCACAAAATTGTACATTTATGTTCAGATTCTACATGTAAGACTGTTCATGAGTGGAAAGAAAAGCATCATCATGAGCATCAAGAAAGTAATGATTCAAGTTCTAGTAAAAATCTAACCCAGGTAAGGTACTATAAAATGAGGATTGTAGATTTTAGCAAAGCTTTTTAATACATCAGGTTTAAGTTGTTTTGGTTACTGATGATGATAGAAGGCTGATTCAAATTTAGCCTTGAAGATATGTGTGGGTTCCTTTATTTTGCCCCCTTTAAACCTAACTTCCTTAAGAAGATATACTGGCAAGTATCAAGGACCTGTAATTGAAGGGAATATGTAAAAATGTGGGGAAAAAAAGTTGCAGGTAGTCCTTTGAGAAAAGTAGTTGTAACAGTCTGTTAGGCCCTTCTCCGACCCTAGGTACAAGAACACTCAAGGGTTAATATTCTGAAGAGTTTATCCCTTTAACAAATTATTTGTCACCGTGTGCCAGGCACTGCAATAATACAGCTTATAAGGGACCCACAATCTATGTTTTCATAGACATTCTCATGAAAAGACAAATAAGCAATCGCTTATCACATGATATGGTATACACAGCAAGGGATTAACATAACCTTTGTATACTGTGGAGGTATTAGTTTTAAAAGGTTTACTAGAGAAGGTAGTATTTAGACAGAGAACTAAAGAATGAGTAGCAGTCATTCAAGTGAGGTGGGGTGGGATGGGAGAAGCAGGGGTATTCCAGGCTGTACACGCATAGATCCAGGCTAAAAAGCTTGGCACATCTATTTTGCTTCTAAATAATGTAATGGACATTTGTGAACAAATTTGAGAACCTAATCTCTATAGCATTGTTTCTATGGCAAATAAATTATTTACCTTGAAGAGAACTTTTAGAACTTTGAGACTTCAGAACTTGCAGAACTTCAGAACTTCTGAAATTTAGAGTTAGTGTCTTATCAACAGGGGTGGTTGAGCCTACCTGGTTTTAAGGTTGAGAATATAGATTTCAGAAGTAAGATATTCCGTATGAAAAATGGAGGGATCATAACTTGGGAAGCCAGAAGAGCTTGAGAGACAACGCCTTCAGTTCCAGTGAATTTGAAGGGGCCCAAACAGGTAAAGAATTGAGTTCATTCTTTTTACTGCTTTCATAGAGGAAAAGACCTCCAGGTTTTGTTCTAGGTGTTATAACCAGTTCTGTAGAGTAGAATGGAAGAAAGGAACTGAAGTTGCCAGAATGTTCAGTGGTAATTAATATGTCATTGCTTGGTATTCCGCTTATGCTGTTTATCTAAGAAACAGTATGAGAAGTCTCTGTAGTGCATCTTATGGCTTCTTTTGTCCTCTTAACCACCTGTCTGTATAGAATTAGAATTACTGCAGAAACCAAAAGAAGTACATAGCACCAATATTAAGTAGTAGGGAAAGCAATTTTTTACGTGACTACTTACCAGTTTTTGGAATTAAAACGCTTTATAAACTGTTCCTTTAATAGCAACCACATCTGACCTAAAATGATTTATACACAAAAGCAGCAAGTAAATGTTGTCCTTACCTTGAGTATATTATTGACAATAGTCGTCTTAACACTGTTGTTTTGTTTTTCTCACTAATTCCTCAAAAGACAGTTATTTTCCTGAAGTCATGAGTGTACTTTATAAGAAAATAATTGTATTTTCTGGATTTAGTAATCTTGTTATTTAGTAATCCGGTTATGCTTTCCTAAAGAAAAAAGAACTTCTTTTGTTTCTTAGGTTTTACAGTCCTTTGATATAGACCCCTCTCAAGTTGCACATCTGCCCACGATTGCAAATTAATGTTCTAGAAGTTTATAATTTACAGAACACTTATATACAGCATCCCGCTTAATCCTTAAAAGTCTGTGAGTTAAGAATTCATTTGTTTATCAAACATCAATTAAAGATGCTTTTCTAGGTACTAGGGATTTAGAGATGAGTAAAATGACCTCGAGAAGATCCCAGGGAAGCAAATTAGTGAACAATTGTACTTGCATTATGGTGAATAAATACTATGTTCCTAAGAATTGGGTGTGGTGATAATATAAACTTTTGGATGAGTTAAGAAAGGGCTTACTATGGTAGAGACATTTAAGCTTAGTCTTGAAGGCTTGTAGAACAAGGAATAGAAGTGCTGTCCAGTCAGGGCAGATGGCCAGTGTGTGTAATGACATGGAGTTGTGAAATCTCATGGGGAGCTGTATACGGACACTTAAATTGTTCAGTGTAACAAGAGTTGAGATGTGTAGAGAATCTGTAGGAGAGGAATTGGAGAGGTAGCCAGTGTCCAGACAGTGGACCATTTCACATCCTATAGGAAAAATCTGTACTTTATCTTGTATCCTGTAGATGATGGAGAGCCACTGAAACATTATAATAAAGGTAGCAGAATAGTCAGTTTTTCAGTTTAGAGTAATCACTCTGGTAGACAAAACCATTATTACCCTTGTTACTGATAGCCCCTTTTGTCATCCCCATTACCTCAATTCATGTATTTAATGGTGAACTTTTAAAGGATAGTAAATAGAAAGGAGCCATGGTGGTACAGTGGTTAAGCACTTGACTGCTAACCAAAAGGTTGGCGGTTCAAACCCACCAGCCGCTCAGTGGAAGAAAGATGTGGCAGTCTGCTTCTGTAAAGATCACAGCCTTGGAAACCCTACGGGGCAGTTCTACCCTATCCTATAGGGTTGCTGTAAATCAAATCTACCCGACAGCAATGGATTTGGTTTGATTTGGTTAACATAAAAATAAAATATGGCATGGGAAGGCAGACAGGTAAATGCACACTAAGACTTTCATTTGTAATAGAGAGGAAGTTTTCAGGGCCAGTTGACATGAACTTTTCTGGATTGTTGGATGACAGAAAATTCATTAAAGTCACTGGAAGTGGGCTGTGGACAAAGAGAGTAAAGGGTGGTAGCAACCTAAGGACGAAAACAAAAAGACTCACGAGTTGAGGAAAGCTCTGATGATAATTTCTAGTTTGTTCAGCACTTCTTAGTCTAAGCAAATCTTAAAGATCAAGCAAGATTTAAAGTCAAATGGCAAAAGGATTATTAAATCCTGGGGTCATGGAATAGTAAAGCTGTAAAGGGCCTTATGTGTGTGGTGTATAGTTTTATGTCATATAAAGTTTGATGTTGGAAAGTTAAGGTGGAAGCTGAATTTCCAGGAGAGCATTTCTGCATACAGTACATTTGTTTAAAGAGGGTCTATAATTCATACCATAAATTATTGTTGTTGTTATTAGTTGCCATGGAGTCGATTCCGACTCATGGCAACCCCATGTGTGTCAGAGTAGAACTGTTCCACAGGGTTTTGAAGGCTGTGACCCTTCAGAAGCAGATTGCCAGGCCTGTCTCCCAAGGCGCTCCTGGGTGAATTTTGAACTGCCGACCTTTCAGCTAGTAGTGGAGCACGTATAGCTTTATATAACTTTATAGCTTCCTGTAAAACACATGCAAATTTGGAGTTATCTTGGAGACTTCTTAGAAGAGGACTTGGTCTAGTAGAGCTTTTGTTCAGCTCACTGGCAGGGTTGAATAGGTTTCATCCACTCAGTAAAAATGTGAGTGAAAAGGTGCAATTTGTAGAGAGATTTTCAAATACTCCCTCCAGTCTCTGATGGTCTAACCACTTACGATACCCACTGCCATTGAGATGATTCCAACTGTAGTGACCCTATTGGACAGAGTAGAACTGCCCCATAGGGTTTCCAAGGAGCGACTGGTGAATTCAAACTGCCGGCTTTTTGGTTTAGCAGCTGAACTCTTAACCGTGTGCCACCTGGGCTCCAACCACTTATAATAGAACTGTGCATTTTCCAGCTTTTCCTTCTCTGCCCCGTTATAATCCTCAAGTTGTCTCTGTTGTTTTATCATCTCACTTTTAAAAATGGTTCAGCTATTCCTGGATGAATATTTCCCACTAATGACTGCTTGTTTGCGTTTTCCATGGTTCTGTTTCTGTTTCTTAAGGTGGCAAATAGTTTTATTCTTGAAATATGAGCATTTTTAGGAATGTATATATGAATGAGGAAACCCTAAAGAATTTCTACAATTTTTCATGTCTTGAGAGAATGAGGCACTTTTTTTTTTTTAATTCTAGATGATTAGTTCTCATTTGAGAGCAGTTTTGCCCCTCGGAATATTTGACAATGTCTGGAGACTTTTTTTTTTCTTTTTTATTGAAAGTTTACAGCTCAAGTTAATTCCCATACAAAATTTTATACACATATTGTTATGTGATACTGGTTGCAATCCCTGCAATGTGACAGCATGCTCCCCCTTTCCACCCTGGGTTTTCCGTGTCCATCCAACCATCTCCTGCCCTTCCTGCCTTCTTATCCTGCCTCTGGACTAAGAAGCACACTCTTCATGAATATTATTTTATGTTTTATAGTCCAGTCTAATCTTTGTCTGAAGAGTGGTCTTCGGGAATAGTTTTAGTTTTGGGTTAACATAGTGTCTGGGGGCCATGGCTTTGGGGGGTTCCTCCAGTCTCAATCAGACCATTGAGTCTGGTCTTTTTATGTGAATTTGAGTTTTTTCCCACACTTTCCTCCCACTCTGTCAGCGACTCTCTACTGTGTTCCCTGTCAGGGCGGTCATTGGTGGTCGCTGAGCACCATCAAGTTCTTCTGGTCTCAGGCTAATGGAGTCTCTGGTTTATGTGGCCCTTTTGTGGAGACATTTTTGATTGTCACTACTACTAGGGGTAGGAGGTGGGGAGGGGTGCTATTGACATCTAGTCAGTAGAGGCCAGGGATGCTGTTAAACATCTTACAATGCACAGGATAGCCCCCACAACAAAGAATTACTTGGCCCCAAATGTCAATAGTGCTGAGGTTGAGAACCTTGCCCTAGATATATACTTCATTCTTAACTAAAGAAATTACTTTTCGTTTCAGAATTTTGAAGCACCATGTTCTTCGGTGTCACCTGAAAGTGTTCAAGATACAGATGAAGAGGTTACTGATAATTCTTACTTTGAATATTTTTAATGAAATTAAGTCACACAGTTCCTACCTTTAATATAAAAATGATTAAAAAACCTTGATAGTATGAAAATAACAGTGATGTCTCTTAAAATCAGTATGTAAGTTTTTTTAAAGTGATCAAAAGCTATTTGGAAAAATATAATGTTTACTTGATCATCTTTTTTGCCATTGTTTCTAATAAACTCATATGTTTTAAATGAAGACTGGGGAGCCTGTGGCTCACAGGTTATCTAAAATTTGATTTAATTTTATCACAGTTTTGTATGTTTATGCCTAGGGCTGTCAGAATGCTGTATGACAGTAACAGGTTTTTACCCTATTTCTCTAGTCTGCAGTAAGATAAAATACGTGAGTGTGTGCGTGTGTATCTTTTTAGCTGTTGCTTCATTTCCCAGCCAGGATCTCCTGATTGACCCTGATTGAATTACTGGATAGAATTTTATGTTCTCTGGTCCTAAAATAAAATTAGATTCATAGAATACTGTTTTTTTTCTTTCTATTTAAAAGAAGACTTTTAAATTATAGTGATTCTTCTTTATTTGTGACAGGCAGTTGTATTTTTCTGTCTTGTGGGTCAATGCCCCTTGTTAGAAGAAAGGTTTCTTACCTCTGCTTTAAAGCGCTAAAGAACTAAGCTAGATTATGTTTTCATTTCTTTTTATCTATATATATCAGGGAACTACTTCCCTGAAGCAAGTAGAATCTTAAGATCTAGATCTCAATTTTTGGTGGTTCATAAAGCATATTAGAAATCTCCGGAAAATACTCATCAACTAGATTAAAAAAAAAAAATGTATCCTAAAGTATTTCGAAGTGAGCAAGGGAATGAGAATTAACTTATTTTGAAGGTCTGCCATGTACCAGGCTCTGTGTGAAGTGTTTCACTTAGCTTACTTCATTAATCATCACAAAAATCCGAAACGGATATAAGTCTTTAACATTCCTATTTTACAGATGAACAAACTGAGACTCAAAGTAGTTAAATAATTTGCTTGCCTAAGGTTATAGAGGTAATAAGAGAAAAACAGTTTTAAAGCCATGTATATGTTTATAAATCCATTTTCTTTTACTGTGCTACCTCCGTATTTTTGTAAATTTTTTTCTTTCCACAATTAAGTGAATTAATTGCTTTCTTTCTCTTATTAATCTGCAGAGTAAATAACTAAGAATATTTTACCATGAGTCTTTTACAATTTAGATGCAGATAGTAGAAGAGCTTCATGCTGCACGTGTGGGAAAAAGTGTGGATTTACCTGTGGTTCCTCCTTCTGGAGAGTTGATGAGTATGGAAATTGACTTGGTGGAAGACGATGTGCATTCTTCTGCCGGTATACCTTATATGTTAATATTTATGATCTTCTATGTTTGCTTAAGAATTAACGTGCTGATATTTATTTTTTATAATATTTAGATGACAAATGTTAAAACGTGCTGTTTTAGCTTTAGGAATCAGGTATAATATTTTGTTTTATCATCATTTATATATCTACATATGAGACTCTTGGATATAATTTCTCTTTTTGCCAAGGGGCAGTAATTGGAGTTAATGAGTTATCTTTCATTCTTTCTTGTAATCACAACTTCTAACAATTTCACCTGTGTAAAGTACTGATAAAAAATAATGCAAATTGTGCAAAGGTGTTATCTTCACAGATTTCTTTTGTTTATATAGTCAGATTTTCATTGTTCTTGCTACTGGGAGAAGATAATGATAGAGCTTATCTAACATTCATTATACTATTTTCAATTATATTTACAAAAATTGTAATCTACCTTACATTCACATTGCATTTGGTAATTTACTAAGTTCTTCTACATCCATTAACTTATCCTCACAAAAGCCCCATTAAGTAACAATGTTGGCATTATTTTGTGTTTTCTTTGTTTTATTCATATTTATCTTTTCAATTATATTTCACTCATGCTGTATTAAACTTATAATACGTAAGTGTACGGCTACCAACGATTCAAGACAAGGCTTAGAGACAGTTAGTGCTGAGGCAAGTCAGCTTATGATTTAAAATCCACCCATAAGCAATTCATAACATTCTACTGATGAATAATTAAACAGTGGTTGCAGTTCTTTCTGTTAAGAATTGGAGTAAAAGCAATTTTCTTTTCATTATTCAAAAGACTTTCTTTTCTAAAGAATCCTATAGAATGTTCTGTAATATAAAAATTTTTGTTGCTATATGTCTATTATCGAGTACAATAAAACCTGTAAAAGCTGGAACCTGTGTAAGGTGGAAAATCAACAGACAAGAACAACTCAGGTATTTTCCGCTAAAATTAGTGATGGTAGAGTGGTAAAACTGCACCCTGTCAAACGTGGAAAACTTGTAAGACCTGGAAAAACAAGGCAGTCCCATTGAGTTCTGGCTCTCAGAGGTTTCTGTGTATCATGAAATGATGACTGAGTATTGAAATTATAACTTTGTTCTTCTTCTCTAGCAAATACTGCTTCAGACAAAAAGCTTCTAATTGTTATTGACACAAATATTCTGATGAATCATCTCAAATTTATTAGAATTTTAAAGACAACAGAAATACCAGGTATTTGCAAAATATATTTACTGATTGTGATTTTCTTACTTGAGCTGATATTTTATATTAACAGTAATGTGGTATTCACGTTTGGATATGCTATTAAGCATATATATATTAAGCATCATCAGCTTAAGTAAAATAAGATCCTCCACAGGTTGACCTAGCAGTCTAAATTTGCTCTTCTTTGACCTTCAATAGTATTTGTAATATTCTTTTGGCACTTATACCGTATTTTTAATTTCCATTTTTTATGTGTTGTCTTTCCATTTACATTGTAAATTATTTCAAGGTAGGGACTATGTGCTTTAAAACTTTAAATTTTCCTACAGCAGTTTGACTTAGTAGCTCAATAAATATTTGTTGACTTCTAAGAAATCTATTTCATTTTTCAGGCTTTGACAGACTTGTGTTGATAATTCCCTGGATTGTAGTACAAGAACTAGATCGTATGAAGGCAGGAAAACTACTAAAACATGCCCAGCATAAAGCTGTACCTGCAGTTCATTTCATTAACGACAGTCTCAAAAATCAAGATAGAAAGTTATGGGGTCAGTCAATACAACTTGCATCTCAAAAACTTTGTAAGTATTGTTCTCTTACGGTGCTTCCTGATCAATTTGACTTGTGTAGGTATTAACTAATTAATGGAGGGGAGTGTTACAAAGCTATTTAAAAATTTGTAACCTTTGGAATGTAAAATGGCAGGGCATGATAGCTTGGGGATATTCTATTAGGTCTGGTTTGGGAGGTCTTTGAATCCCCCTGGTGGATTCAAACTGCTGACCTTTTGGTTAGTAGCTGTAGCTCTTAACCATTACTCCACCAGGGTTTTGCCTTTGAATTGTGGTATTAGCAAGGAATATTTAAGATACCATGGACTGCCAAAAGAACAAACAAATCTGTCTTGGAAGAAATACAACCAGAGTACTCCTTAGAAGCAAGGATGGTAAGACTACATCTCACATACTTTGGACATGTTATCAGGAGGGATCAGTCTCTGGAGAAGGACATCATGCTTGGTAAAATAGAGGGTCAATGAAAAAGAGGAAGACCCTCAAGTGGATGGATTGACACAGTGGCTGCAACAATGGGCTGAAGCATAGCAACAATTGTGAGGATGACACAGAATAGAGCAGTGTTTCGTTCTGTTGTACATAGGGTCGCTATGAATCGGAACTGACTCGACGGCACCTAACAACATTTTGCATTGTTAGTAGTATTTACTCTCGGAGCTGAAAGAAGGAAGATCAGCTCCTGTGATAATGTCTGTCTTGCTCACTAGTCATCTGATTAAGGCTCTCAGTCACATCTCCCTGAGGCTCATCTCTGTTATTAGTTGAGTTCTGTTTAGACTTTGCTACTAGAAACTCCTGAAGAGTTTGTTTCTCTGTGCATCTCCAGCTGACTAGCATAGGAATCTGGCATGAATTAAGCTCTCAAAGCAGAGAGTGACAGAAAGATGTTTACCTGTGTTTTATTAAGTAGGCTAAGGCATTCGACCATGTGGATCATAACAAATTATGGATAACATAGCGAAGAATGGGAATTCCAGAATTCATAATTGTGCTCATGAGGAACCTGTACACAGACCAAGAGGCAGTCATTCAAACAAAGGGGCGTTGTGTGGTTTAAAATCAGGAAAGATGTTTATCAGGGTTGTATCCTTTCACCTTACTTATTCAATCTGTATGCTGAGCAAATAACCCGAGAAGCTGGACTGTTTGAAGAAGAATGCAGCATGAGGATTGGAGGAAGACTCATTAACAACCTGCAATATGCATATGACACAACCCTGCTTGCAGGGACTGAAGAGGACTTGAAGCACTTACTGATGAAGATCAAAGACTACAGCCTTCTATGGATTATACCTCAACATAAAGGTATGGATTACACCTCAACATAAAGAAAACAAAAATCCTCACAACTGGACCAATAAACAACATCATAATAAACGGAGAAAAGATTGAAGTCATCAAGGATTTAATTTTACTTGAATCCACCATCAATACCCATGGAAGCAGCAGTCAGGAAATCAAACAGTGTATTGCATTGGGCAAATGTGCTGCAAAAGACCTCTTTAAAGTGTTAAAAAGCAAAGATGTTACTCTGAGGATTGAGGTGCACTTGACCCAAGCCATGTTATTTCCAGTTGCCTTATATGCATGCGAAAGCTGGACAATAAGTAAGACAGACCGAAGAAGAATTGATGCCTTTGAATTACTGTGTTGGCGAAGAATATTGAGTATACCATGAACTGCCAGAAGAATGAGCACATCTGTCTTGGAAGAAGTACAGCCAGAGTCCTCCTTAGAAATGAGGATGGTGAGACTTTGGACATGTTATCAGGGGGAACCAGTTCCTGGAGAAAGACATTATGCTTGGTAAAGTAGACGTCAGTGAAAAAGAGGAAGACCCTCAATGAGATGGATTGACATGGTGGCTGCAATAATGGGCTCAGGCATAGCAACAATTCTGAGGATGGCGCAGGACTGGGCAGTGTTTCTTTCTGTGTACATAGGGTTGCTATGAGTCGGAACCAACTCGACGACACCTAACAACGTAGATATTTTTTGTTTGAATGAATGAGTTTTCTTGTTTCAATGATTAGAGGACTGAGCTAAGTAATATAGGCTAAAAGTTGAGGAAAAAAAAGATAGTAAACTGGGAACAAGGTTGAGGTGCATTGCCTAATATGCCTTGAATTTCTCTGGATCCATGCGTCAAAAATTTTTATCCAGAAGTAAGTTGAGGGTGTAGTCTTGGAATCTGTATTGTTAACAAATACCCTAAGTAGTTCTGATTCAGGTAGTGTAAGGATCTACAAGAAACACTTTTTTAGGCCATATTTCTACACATTACATTATTTTCACAAAAACTGAACTTTCACTATGTGCTTTAAGGCTTGAAAAATACCATAGGACACCCTATCAGCCATCGATTAACGTTTGTTAGAAGTTACTTTTTACATTCTCTTCCTAGCACCCACATTGCCCTCTTGTCTTCTGTATATCTAAATTTTATTGCTTTAGAGCTTAAGGAAAAGCGGGCAGAAGAAACTGGTTATGTTGATGGTAGTACAGTTGCCCATTACTTTATGGAGGTAATTTTAAAAATGATATAACCATGTAATTTACTTATAATCTCTTAGTAAGTGAATTGAGACTAGAATTTGTAGCTTTTGGGTTATAGTCTGACATTTAATCTGCAGATCACATTTTTTTCTTTTGTGTTTATTAACAGGTATATACTGTTTCATTTTAGAAGTAAACCTACCACTTCATTAAATCCACAACTATCTGCTACATCAGTTCTAGAGTTTTCAAGGCATAATTTTGCAGTGTCTTATTTTCCTCTTTTTATTTAAAAAGTTTATTTTTTTTTGTGGATGTTTTGATTTGTAAATATAGTCCAGATGCTAGTCGGTATGGTACTCAGATTCTAGTTGCTTATTAACAGTTGCTTTTGCTAAATTTACAGATGGATTGAGTGATGAGAACAATGATGATCGGGTATTAAAATGCTGCCTTCAATACCAGGAATTATTCCCTTGTTCTCTTGTTATTCTGTGCACGTGAGTTTCATAAGTCATTTCATTTTTTTTTTTTTTGATAGTAGCAATTTACTCCAAAGAATTTTTTAAAATCATGTTGTATCCACCATACCAGGGATCAAACACATACAATTCGAAAAAGCAGGGGAATTTGATGTCCCAGTAAAGTAGTTCGGAAATCAAAATGTGACAGAATTTTTTTTGTCATTTGGCAAGAAGTTTATTTATTCTTTTGGAGAAGGTGATAGTTTGTGTTACAGTTGTGTTCCAGATGCTTGTTATGAATTAGACTGCCTGGGTTGCAGTCCTGGCACCACCGTTTACCAACTTTGTAACCTTGGACAAGTTGCTTAACTTAGTTTCCTCATGGGGAAAAAATAGAATAGTAATACCTGCCTCATGAGGTTATTGAGAGTATTAAATCAGATAATATATGTAAAGACTTAGAATAGTGCCTAGTACGTGGCAAGAGTGCAGTAAGACTTCCTTCTTCTCCTTTTCCTCCATTCCCTGCTAATATTTTCATAACTTAGTTCTAAGGTAAAACTCATGTAACACTAAGCACAATTTTATTCATCATGTATCAGAAAAGGCTCTGAAAGGATAGAGAAGAGCAATTTCAATTTGCAGTTTTAGTCTGAATTTTATTCTCTGCAACATGGAGATTTTACAGTTTCATGATCTTGCCTAAATTCTCTGTGTAATAGCGTGGTTATAGAACATGAATAGCCCTAAAAAAATCATTTTTGCTGTTTTAGAGGATAATGATATTCATTTTGGTATTAAAGAAAATATTGGAGATTACTCTAAGTTTTAAATTATTTTTTGATCTAGAACGTAACATATTATCTTGAAGTTGGTTGAAAACTGAAATAGAGTTAGTAATACGTAAACCATTTTGAATTTGAGATAAACTAAATCTGTGAGGTATTACATAATTGTTATTTCTTTTAGTTCAGTTTTGAATGAAAATTAAATTTGTAGGACTTTTTCAATTCTCCTTTATTTCTGCAATCACTGTTTTGAGATTAACAGTTGTAATGTTTATTTACTTTAATATTGTGTTTTAGGTGAAAGCTTACACAGCAAATTAGGTTCCCATTTAGCAATTTTTATACAGATTGTTCCATGACGTTGTTTACAGTTTTCACAGTGTGTCAGCATTCTTATTATTTCCATTCTGTTTGTTTTGTTTACAGTGATCTAGCTTCCCTTCCCCTCCTTGCCTTCTCATCTTTGCTTTTGGGTAAATGTTCACCGTTTGGCCTCATATAGTTGATTAAGGGAGCATAGGTCTCATGTATGATATAGTTTATTTTATAAGCCAATCTATTACTTGACTGAAAGGTGACCTCCAGGAGTAGCTTCAGTGCCAACTTCAAAGGATATGTTAGAGCGATAGCCTCGGGGGTTCCTCTGGTCTCTGTTGATCCAGTAGGTCTGGCCTTTTTTAGGAATTTGAATTTTGTTCTACATTTTTCTCCCATTCTACCCAGTACCTTCTGTTGTGTCCCTGGTCAGAATAGTCGGCAATGGTAGCCAGGCACCATCTAGTTCTTCTGGTCGCAAGTTAGAAGAGGCCGTGGTTCGTGTGGGCTATTAGTCTTGTGGTAGATGTAACATTTCTTAATGAAGAGAAAATTTATAGTCAAACCTTACTTTTAATTATCCCTTGTCATGTTCCATGTGAGCCTGTTTTTCCCCCCTTTAAATGGAAATAATCATACCTACTCTGCAAATTACACCTACTTGTTGTGAAGATAACATTTATAGTACTTAAATGGATGCTGATAATATCAATCGATAATGATAATAATAAATTCTCTAATGCTGTATACTAGGTATCGTTCTAAGGGCTTTACTTACATTTACAATTTTAAGTATGGGCCCACTATCCCCAGTTTATGTCTCTAGTCAATATCTCTCTTCTGTTCTAGTACATTCAGCTACTTGGTTGACATTTTTACTTGGATGTTTCATAGACACCTGTATCCTATCATCTCCAAAAGTGAACTCTTGATTTTTCCTTAAACTGAACTGTTCTCTATTTGAATAATAGGTACCACCTTCCACCCATTTGCTAAAGCTGGAAACCTGTGCTTCATTTTTGATACTCGACTTCCCCTTATAAACCATATCCAATAAATTAGCAAGTCCAGTTGATTCTATCTCCAAAACAGTTTGTATGGTCTTCTTTTCTTTATTTTCCCTGTCACCATCCTATGTCAAGCCGTGTTATCTTTTTCTGAACTTCCTCTCTAGGACAATATGCACTCTACTTCTATACTTTTTCATTTATTCTTCAAAAAGCTAGACTCGTGATTTTTTATTTTTAATTTTGAAAACTTTTTATTATGGGGAATTTCAATAATATTCAAAGTGAACAGAAAAGTTAATAAAGCCCGAAGTACCAAGCTACAACAATTATCCAGATTCTGCCCCTATAATTTGGTTATTTTTATACAGTTCTGTGTATTTTGAGGAAAAATGTACATACATCGAAATGCACAAGTCTTGATCATACAGTGTTGACAAATGGATACACCTATATAGCCCATACCCCCTCAATGTATAGTATACTTCCATTACCGCAGAAAGTACTCTTGTGCCTTTGTGCTTTTTCTTTTCTTTTTTTTTTAAATTGATGTAATTAAAATGAAGTTTATGTTACGAGTTAGTCTCCCATACAGATTTTTTTTTTTTAACGTACATTGTTATGAGACCCCAACCACTCACCCCATTCTGCGACAGCACACTCCTGCCTTCCGCCCCTGATTCCCCATGGACATTCAACCAGCTCCTAACTCTCTCTGCCTTCCCCTCTCACCTCTGGACAGAAGCTGCCCCTTTGGTCTCTTATATCTACTTGTCTAAGAGGCATATTCTTTACGAGTATCACTTTATGTCCACCCTTTGTGCTTTTTCTAGTTTCTTAAGGTAGAACCTTAAATCATTGATTTGAGACTGGTGTGGATTTTTCTCTAAGCGCTGCTTTCCTTGCATCTTACAAATTTTGGTATGTTGTGTTCTGATTTTCATTCAATTCAATATATTTTATATTTTCCCTTGTGATTTCCTCTTTGATCCATGTGTTATTTAGATGTTTGTTGCTTAATTCCACTTATTTGTAAATTATCTAGATACTTTTCTGTTAATTGATTTGTAGTTTAATTCCTTTATGGCCTGAGAACATACTTTATATGATTTCTATTCTTCGAAATTTGTTAAAATTTCTTTTGTGGCCTAGAATATGATCTGTCTTGGTGCACTTGAAAAGAATGTGTATTCTGCTGTTGTGGGTGGAGAATTTTATAAATTTCAATTAAGTCAAGGTGGTTGATAGTATCGTTTAAAAAACAAGACAAAAAAATACCCATTGCTGTCGAGTTGATTCTGACTCATTGCAACTCTATGGGACAGAGTAGAACTGCCCCATAGGGTTTCCAAGGAGAGCCTGGTGGATTCGAGCTGCTGACCTTTTGATTAGCAGCCGTAGTTCTTAACCACTACACCACCAGTGTTTCCATAGAGTTGGCAGTGGTGAGATTTGAACCCACGCCCCAGCAGAGACTGGAGCCTTAATCCAGCACCTTAGACTGCTCGGCCATGCTACTGCACACGTTGTTTACGTCTTCTGTATCCTTACTGATTTTCTATTTACTCAATGATTATTGATAGAGGAGTGTGGACATCTCCACCTGTAATTGTGGGTTTATCTGTTTCTCCTTTCAGTTCTATCTGTTGTGTTTCATGTATTTTGAAGCTCTGTAGTGAGATGCATACACATCTCGGATTGCTTAGGATTGTCTTCTTGGAAAAATGACCCATTTTCTTTACATAATGGCCCTCTTTGTCCCTGAAAATATTCCTGGTTCTGAAGTCCCCTTTTATGAGTGTTACTATAGCTACTTCAGCTTTCTTTTGGCTAGTATGTATAGGGTATATCTTTTTCCATCTTCTTACTTTTAACCTATTTATGTCTTTATATTTAAAGTAGGTTTCTTGTAGACAGCACATAGTTGGTTCTTTTTTATCCAGTCTGACAATTTCTGTCTTCTAATTGATGAGTTTAGACCATTTACATTTAACTGGTTGGATTAAAATGAGCCATTTTTCTAATTGTTTTTTGTTTGTTCCATCTGTTCTTTTTTGGCTTTTTTCCCCCCTTCTCTTGAGTAATAGTGTATTTTTCATGATACAATTTTATCTCCATTATTGGCTTTTATCCTTTTCTAAAAAACTTTACTTGATCAGAGTCTACTTTTAAATAATTTTTTTTAGCAGTTTTAGTATGACATTCCTAGGTGTTTTTATTTTTTTTGTGGGGGGTAGGTAGAAGGAGGGTTATCTTACTTGTTTGCTCTGAGTTTCTTGAATCTATAGTTTGATGTCTGTCTTTAATTTTGGAAAATTCTCAATGTTTATATCTTCAAATATTTCTTCTGCTCCATTCTCTGTTATGTCTTTCTGGGATTACAGAATTTTGTTGTAATAACCAGCCTCCAGGGGCCCTGGTGGTGCAATGGTTAAGCCCTTGACTGCTCACCAAAAGGTTAGTAGTTCAAACCCACCCAGTTGCTCCACAGGAGAAAGACCTGGTAATCTGCGCCTGTAAAGATTATAGTCTAGAAAACCCTATGGGGCAGTTCTACTCTGTTACATGGGGTCACTGAGTCAAAATCGACTCGACAGCACCTAACAACAACAACGACCAGCCTCCAAGATGGCCTCCAATGAAACCTGTCTTCTGGTATTCATTTTCTTGTATACTCCCCTCCCACATCAGAATTGATGGTATTTCACTTCTGAGATTAGATTATAAAAGGTCCAGGCTTCCTTCTTGGGCCTTTCTTGTTTACTTGCTCTGGGGTTTACTTGCTCTGGGAAACAAGCTGCTATGTTTGAGCAGCACCACGGAAAGGCCCACATGGTAAAAAACTGAAGCTGCCAGCCAAGAGCCAGTAAGGGGTTGTGGCCTGCCAACAACCATGTGAGTGATTCCCAATTGAGCCTTGAGACAGCTGCAGCCCTAGACAGTAGCTTGACTCCAGACTTGTGAGAAACCCTGAACCAGAACTACCTAGTAAAGTTGCTCTCACGTTCCTGACTCTTAGGACATATATAAGAGAACAAATATTTGTTGTTTTAAGCTGATAAGTTTCAGGGTAATTTGTTACACAGCAATAGATAACAAATACATGCACTTAAGTTATTCTGTGTAGTGTTGTCTCACAGCTCTTGGAATTTTTTTTTTTTTTTTTTTTTAAGCTTTTTATTCTTTTTGTTTCAGTTGAGGTAATTTCTGATGACCTATTTTTAGGTTCTTTCCTCGTCTATGTTGAATCTACTGGGGAGCTACTTGAAGGCATTCTTCATCTTTGTTATTGTGTTTTTTTGTTTGTTTGTTTTATTTCTAGCACTTCCATTTGATTCTTATGGTTTTCATCTCTCTACTGAAACTGCATAACTGATTTTGCATATCATCCACCTTTTCCATTAGAGCCTTTCACACATTAATCAAAATTCCCTGATATTCCCCATCAGATAGCTTCAGTATCTGTGTCATGTTTGAATCTGGCTCTGTTGATTGCTTTGTCTCTTGCCAGTGTTGGTTTTTCTTGTCTTTTCCGGGCAGAATTTATATGCAGATTTTGGAGCTCACCTGCTCTGTGATTTCTTCCCTTCTTCAGTTTCTCTCTTAACTTTCTAGCTGCTCTGGACAGCCGTGGACCTTGTCTTCTTACATCTCAAGCCACCAGGGCTGTGCCTTTCTATTGTTCTAAGCTGTTGATGAATTGGGGAATGCTCCCAGGAAAAAGATACAAACTTGTAGCTCTCATCACTGCAGTTTCTGGGTCTTGAAGGTAATCTCCCCTCCAGCTTTTGCCTCCATTTTATTGTTCTCTAGTGCTTTCAAATAGTTACTTTTTTCTTTTTATCCATATTTTATAAGTGTCACCGGTGGGAATGTTAGTCTGATTAAGCTATTCTTCCATTAACAAAATCTGGAAGCTTGCTGGACTCCAAAATAATAATTTAATAAACAGAAATCTGATCACGCCACTTCCCCTCATTCAACACCTTAACTATCTTCCCATTTATTAACGTCCTTGCTTTTTCTGTAACCTCATAAGCTGATCTCATGCACTATGCTGTAATCAGACTGACTTCTTTCAGCAAACAGAAAATTCATACCACTTATCTTATGTTCAGTGAGGAAATTTCGTGATTGCTTGCCCTGTGTAAATTGTAATTTCTCTTACTGTGGCTCTCTATTTGTGTTTATTTCTTTTTGATCATATTCCTGTATTCAAATCCAGCTCCCACATATTAGGTGTAACTTTAGACAAGTTACTTCTTTATACTACAGTTTTTCTATCTGTGAAACGGGGATAAAATTAGTACCACTCCTTTTTCAGAAATTTGTTGTAAGAATTAAATGCTTTAATATACATCAAATGCTTAGAACAGTGCCTGGTACCAGGTAAACCTCAGTAAATGTTAACTGTTATTATTCTCAAGAGCTCATATGGTGTGACTACACCGTATATTAATTCATTTTTTCAATTTTTAAAATTGTTACTCTTTGTTAATATATATACTGAGAATCAGCAACCTCTGATTAGATCCCATGTGTTTTGTTGCCATGTGGTTTATCTTATGAAAAATAAAATATTTTTTCCTCCTAATCCTAACCTTAGGGATGATAGAAATTTAAGAAACAAAGGCCTAATAAGTGGTGTGAAGTCACTCAGTAAAGAAGAATTGAGTGCAGAGTTATTAAACTTATCTCTGAACACAGATGAATGCCATCAGCCTTGTATTTCTAAGCATCAATTGAAAGCAGGTAGTATTCTTACTATGAATAATTAGAAATTTATCTTTTTTTATGCACTAAGATTATTGGTAACATTTGGAATTAGCAGTAAATTTTCATCTTGTATATTTAAAATAATACTAAGTTTAGAATACTTGCTGGCATGTAAATGGAAGAAATAAATGACAATTACAATGATAATTAAAAAAACATAATTAACATTATTGCCTTCTATATATACTTTTACAAATTAGATTGAATTTTTGTCCATAGTCTCACATACATTTTTACATACTTATAATCACTATGTGCATGCTACTTTCTACAATGCAGAATATAACTTAAATTAATAGTAGCTACAGAAAATATTCATTTGAGATGGAGATAATTTTTCAGTTTTGTATTTATAACCTTCTACTAACATAGTAAAAACTCAGAGAGCAATAGAGAAACTTGCAGGACTCTAGTAATAGTTTTTTTTTTTTTTAATAATAAATAAGAAAGGTAAAGGCAGTAACATTGTTTCATCCCTTTTCTACTGAATAATCTGTTCTGATGGAATGTTATATCAAATCTGACATCGTTTAAAAACATCCCACCTTTTCTCTCTGTGGGGAAAATAATTATTGGAGTCTCCAATAGCCTATGTACTTTTTGTTTGCTTTTTGTAATTGTCTAAACATTTATATACACACAGATGCTACTTAATTTGCCCTCTTCAGTGATGGACATATCTTTTGTGATATATTCAAAATGGCATTTAGAAGGAGTAACAGAATATTCTAGTTTATGATTTTCCAAGAGTAACATGCTTTTAGTTTGCCCATTATATTACTGGCATTTAAACCGTTCATTTGTATTTATAGTGATAAGCCACATAATATTTAGCATTTTGCCATAAAGAAATTGTAGTTGTTTTGCAGGTATCAAAATAGTAATGTTAATGAAATTAAATCAATTAAAATAGTAAAAGCTGTTTTTAAAGGGGAGAGTATAAATATGGTTAAGCCAGAGATTTTGGTCTTTCAAAACAATTTATAGATGTGTGGTGAGATTAAAAGAAGACTATTTTTGGAATACAGTCCTTTTTGATCCATAGTTCTTGGTCCATAGTTTCTGTTGTAAATGGATCCAAAGCATTCTTGTAATTTTTCTTCTTTTTGAAAATAATAAAATTAAAACTTAGTTAAAATACCATGCATATTTCTTAAATTTCATTTTAGTAAAAATATTATTTAGTTGTCTTTTTGTGGAAAAGATAAAGCATTTGATAAATACTGTGTATTTATGTTCCATCTAAAACAACTATTGCAGACATACGTGTTTCATAATACTATTTTAAAAAAAAGACTGGTCATTTTATAGGTAATTTAAATATGAATTATATATATAAAATGTTTACTATTTATGCCAAGATACTAATTATATATGTAAAATATTTACTGTTAATGCCTTAAATAAAACCTGTAACTATTTATTTTAAAGAAGCAACATCCTTGAAAGAGAGCTTTGAAGAAAAATCTGCAAATTCTGGGCTATCCATTCTACTTGAAAGCATCATATCTGAGCTTGAAAAATCTCTTGGAACAGCTTTATCTTTAATATTAGAAACAGAAATGAAAATTGCTTTTGGAAACCTCTGGATGGAGGTGATTATTTCAGCTCTATTAGTTGACAGTTTCTTTTTTATCACGAAGATTTATTATCTTATTTTAAGAAATAACTGCTTGTATAAAATACCATATGCTTCACTGTAATAATATCATCTTAATTTTTTTCTTGACGTTTTTGAAATCTTTTTTGAAAGTTAAATGATAGATATTTCTTAAAGCTTATATCTATATTTTATCATTCATTTCTTCATTCAGCAAATATTTATTGTGCATCTACTGTGCGTCAGGCACTGTCCTCATGGAGTTTATATGCTAAGGAGGCTGCAGATATATACAGTAAACAAAAAAAAAATAAGGTGTGCCAGATGGTAGTAAGTGCTCCGGATAAAAATAAAGTAAGAAAAGGGATAGGAGATCTGGAATAGATAGTAGTCAAGGCAGGCTCACTGAGAAGGTAACTTGTGAGTAAAGACAAAGTGTGATTGGAAGGAGTGAAGAGGAGCAGAGGAAAAGATGCAGAGAGATAAGAAGGGGCTAGATTGTATAAGGAGTCCTGGTGGCACAAAGATTATAGCCTTGGAAACGGGGCAGTTTTACTCTGTCCTGTAGGGTTGCTGTGAGTTGGAATGGAATCGACTAGACGACAATGGGTATTGTAAGGACTTTGATTTTTATTCTGACTTTTGAAATGGAGTCACATAAGGATTCACATGTTCTAATCTTCCTTTTAAAGGGATCATTCTAGCTCCTGTGGGAAAAATAGCCTGTAGGAAGGCAAAGACTGAAGCTGAAATACTGTTTAGACAGATTGGCAAATCACAGTTCAGGGTGCAAATCCAGCCCACTGCATATTTTTGTAAATAAAATTTTTTTGGAATACAGCCACATTATTTATTGTCTGTGGCTGCTTTTGTGCTATAATGACAGAATTAAGTAGTTCCAACAGAGACTGTGTATGGCCCACAAAGCATAAAATATTTACTATCTGGTGCTTTGTAGAAAGAGTCTGTCGACCCCTGGTTTAGAAGGCTATTGCAATAAACTGGGTAAAAGATGATAATTGCTCCAGTACAGAGTGATGGTTGCTCCAAGAACCAGGATAGTATGGCAAGAAGTAGTCAGATTCTAGGTATATTTTGAAGTCAGAACTACCAGATTTTGCTGATGAATCATCCATGGGAGGTGAGGAAAAGAGTTGAGACTAACTTCAAGGTTTTTTGGCCAGAGCAAGTAGAAGGATGGAGTTGCCATTGCTGAGACGGGATGTTAAAAGAGACATTTCTTGGTAACTGACTTTAATTTGGAAAATGAAGAATACTACAGGGAATTTCTTCTGGCAGGGAGACTATTTGTAAATTGAATTTAGCAAAACTTCTCTCATATTTGGTTTGATTTGAATCAAAATGTCTAACATGACTTCCTCTAACAAAATAGATTCAGAAAAAGAAGTGTAGATTTTGGCTTCTGTAATGTAAATATGAGATCCAGAGATAAATCCGAGTATAAATTTGATCACATTAGCAAGATATTTTGAATATTCTTTAGACGCACATCTTTTCTGTAATCAGTAAAGCACCACATTTGGCAATAGAGGCCTTTTTAGATTTTGTTCACTGTTCATGTTCATAGCTAAGAGAAACATTATTCCACATTAATTGTAGCTTGTATTTATTCCAGATGTTCAGCGGGATTCTAGTATTTGCCAATATTATGGTGATATGTTTGTTACTTTATTATATTATCAAATGTTAAACCAAGATGATGAAGAATGGTACTAGGAGGGCTGACACAGATCAGATATTTCATAGTAGAGTCAAGGAAAGTCATTGTATATAAATGATTCAGAACAGGAAGTGCTGACATCTTATAGAAATAAATGATTCAATCTTTTTTTAAACATGTCTTTGCAAAAGTGTGGCAAGTGGTAATTATACCTGACAACTTTTTTCTATATGGATGTATTTCCACCAGTCATATAAACTAGTTGGATTGACTTCCTCATAGAAATGAGCATGATGAAAAGTAGATTGAGGGACCTTTGCTGGTTAAAACAGTGTTTCCTTTATTAAAACTGTGCTTTATTTTTGCACGTATAATTTCTGAAATAATGAGGATTAATACTAATAATGAATTTTGCTCAGGCAGTTTGCAATGGAATTAGCGTTTTAAGATTATCATTGGCTTTTAGTAAAGCACCTTTTAATTAAAAAAAAAATTCAATTAACTATATTTTGTTCTGAAATATAGGTAGGAATTCCTAAATAAGTACTTTTTAATGCTAGAAATAAGAAATAAATCCATAGATGCTAATTTTTTTTCCCAAAAACTTTTTAGATGCTGTACTTGAAACCACCATGGACTTTAATACACTTAGTACAGTGTTTTAAAAAACATTGGTTGGCTGTATTTGGATTAGTTATGGAAAAAAACTTGCTTTTAACCATTGAGAGCCTATATGAAAATCTCTGTAAAGGTATGAATCTTTTATTTTTGTCTTTAGCAGCATTACATTAAAATATTAAGTCAGACTGGCAGATATATAGGTTTCCATTGCTATCTGAAAGTAGATCATTCCTATGAAACCTTTCTTAGACCAAAATGTTGTAAAATGAAGCAATTACCATTAATTTATATGGGAAAAAATTTTTAGCGTTCCTAGACCCAAAAAATAAAGTACTAAATCATGCAGAATAACACATTACGAGCTCTCTTGGGCTATTCTGATATCTTAGGACACATCTGGCTAACAGATACACAAATCGAGATGAAGCACAGATGCTCACAGACACAGTTCAAAACTATGGTGGGTTGATGCTAAGATGCTGAGTGTAGCTCCCGTGGAAGGAGCTTGGCAATGCCACTCTTGCTGCTCGGGGCGTGCTGCCAGTTTAATGGCGTGCTGCAAAACAGGCGTTGACCGCTGCAGTGTTTCCACTTTTTGCCTTTTTTCACAAAAGCTTAAAATCCTCTTTGGGTTTCGTTCAGTTAGTGCAAACAGGTACTAATGTAGGTCTTTCATAAAAGCAAAGTGGTGTAAAGCAAACTTTCAAAAAGTGGGAGATAATCCATGAGATGTGAAGATGGATTAAAAAGAAATTTGTCAATTCTTAGTCATTTATACTTCCAATATCTAAAGGGAATTTGTGGCAGCTTGTTGAATGGATGCAGTTCATAGACCTTGTGACTGTAAGTGATATCATTGTTGATGTTCCTGGATATTGTAAATACATCGTTTTTAATGTTTGCTTCGTTTGTAATGTTTACTTTTTAAACTGTATTTTATAGTCTATTCAGGTATGCAAATAGAATTAGACTTTTTTTTATTTCTCACTGTGTTTAACACTCATACTTTAAGCACATTTCATGTAATAATTTTTAAAATAGTATATCAAGATTTTTGCATAAACTGAATGGATAAGGAATAGGAAACCTTTGGCTTTAGTGCATAGTGAGTTTTAGAACTGGGAAAGAACCACTTAATCGGTGGTTTTTAAGCCGTATTGTATTTGAAAGTGCCTCTGGGACTGCCATTGACTAGGGCTGGAGTAGTTGATGAGGAGCCTGGTAATGGTGGACCTTTGTCCTGCAACCCCAACTTTAGCCAGACCATCTCTCTTTTGTCTGTTTATATGTTGAGATTCCATGTAGGATTGGAAAAAAGGATTCTCTGCTTAGAAGAAAAAGAAGGAAAAAACACTGAGCTAATGCTATTAAAGCCTATATTTTACGATTAAGGAGATTGGCCCCAAGGGGGTAGGTGACTTGTCCAAAATCAAACAGTTATATTTGTTTTGCTGTATCTTTTGAGAGCAAAAACTTGTTGCCATTGAGTCAGTTCTGACTCATAGTGACTCTTTTGGACAGAGTAGAACTGCCTCAGAGGGTTTCCAGGGCTGTAATCTTTATGGAAACAGACTGCCACATCTTTCTCCCGAGGAGTGGCTGGTTGGGTCGAACCATTGACCTTTTTGTTAGCAGCTGAGTGCTTAATCACTACACTATCAGGGCTCCTTTTCAGAAGCAAAGTATGATTGTTATTAGGATGTTCAGTTGGTTCTTGACTTTTTTCAAACTCCTAATGTGAAGTGATCTGTTTTGTGTATTATTTCATGTATTAGTTGTATCCAGTTTACTTCTAAGAAGTCCTGATGGCATAGTGGTTAAAGCGATCGACTGCTAATTAAAAGATCGGCGGTTCAAAACCACCAGTGGCTCTGCGGGAGGAAGATGTGGCAGTCTCCTTCTGTAGAGATTTGGAAACCCTATGGGGTCACTATGAGTCAGAATCTACTTGAGAGCAGTGGGGGTGGGTTTTAATCTACTTCTAAAAAATATCTGTGGTGACTTATAACAACCTAAGTACAAGAGGGCCACTAAATCAGGTTCAAAATGTAAGAGCCAGTTGATAAAAAATAAGAAAGTTTTACCATAAAACATATGCAAAAAAATTATTACAACACATGAACACAGATTTTAACACTAAGCTTCCTGGAAGCTAAGGGGGGAAAAAAAAGGCATATTCCATGGTAGTAAATCACTTCCCTCATATTCTTTCCCTGAAGTGTAAACTCTAAAAATGTTTTTTGTATCTTTAAGTTCTTCTCAGCACCTAGAGAGTGCCTTATACATGTTGGGTGAATATCTGTTTTTAAAAGCGTACCAGTTTTTTAAAGAAAGACACATTTCCCAGCATCCATGTACACCGTAGAAGTTATTTATTGGGAGTATTATTATTATATGAGGGGCATGAAAGAAAATATCGGACAATGTCTTTAAAGTACTTTTACAAAATATGTGGAAATATTTTTTAGTATATCTTTTACTAGGGGTATAATTTAGTTGGTTCCTTTAAAAGGGAAAGTCTATAAACCACGTGTGATCATGAACAAGGTTTAGTTTCAAAAATGAGGTATCTGGTTGCCATCTTTTATTGTCTTTTTCCAGGGGCGCGGAGTGTTCTGCTCTTACATGCAGTTTAGAGGTGGTAGGTGGCAGCTGTAACTGGCTATAGAGAGAGAAGTGAAGAGGTCACGACTGTTCCTTCTGCTAAAAAGCTATTTTTGGAATCATTGTGTATATAGCTTGTTGATCCTCGATATAGAATCTGATGCCTAACGTTTAGCACTTACGAAGAATATGTAATGGAATTATAAAAGTACCTTCTCCTCTAAAGAACTTTAAATTAGAAAAATCGCGGTTTTCAGTTTTGTTTACTAACTTTTGATAGTATCCTCAGATGTTAAATTACACATATATGTTTAATTTCCGTATACCAGACATGTATCCTTAGGTCAGTTAATAGAAAATGATGTGGAAAATGACCAGTAGCTTTTTCTGACTTGGTTTTCCATGGTAACTTTTGGCTAAATAATTATTGGCCTTATATAAGCATTAAACTATTTCAGTCATGTAGATTTCTTATTTTGTCTATGGACTGAAATTATCATATTTACTACCCTCGATAATCTTGGTAGAGAATTTCTGTAAAACAGAAATAAAAAATGAATTCAAGGATAATTTTTATTTTTATTTTTATTGATAAAAGGGAAGCCAGAGGCTTGGCTTTAACAGTCATATTAGATTAGAATTTCTGACTGTTGTGGAATTAATTAAGATGTACTTCTTATTTTCATTTGAACTTCTAGTATTTCACAAGCAAGTACTTGTTATATAAATGATACAGAGGAACTTTTTTTTTTTTTTTAACTCATAAACCAAAACCAAACCCACTGCCATCAAGTTGATTCCGATTCATAGCAACCCTATAGGACAGAGTAGAACTACCCATAGGGTTTCCAAGGTGGTTTTCTTTATGGGAAGAGACCGCCACATCTTTCTCCTGTGGAGTGGCTAGTGGGTTCCAACCGAAGACCTTTTGGTTAACAGCCGAGCGCTTAACCACTGTGCCATCAGAGCTTTTTTTTAACCTCTTAGTGCCAGTGAAAAATCATAATCGTGTTTCAAAATGTAACAGTCTCTGAGACTGAACATTAAAACAAAAACAAAGCAAACCTATCGTAGCATGGTTATATAGCCTTTAAAAACTGTTACGTAGCATAGTACGTTAATAATGGAAAGATTTTTTTTTTCTGTCAAGTTTTTGTGCCATTAAAAAGTTACTTTATTGTTCATCACTTATAAAATCTGTGAAATAATTGCTACTCCTTTCCCTGACTAGAGAATTTAAGTAACTTTATTTCCTTGGGAGAAAATTGTTATATCTTTAAATTATAACTTGTAGATAATCTCAGTTTTTTTTTACAGAAAAAAAAATTAGGCTAGTTTCTCTTTTGCTTCTCACTGTTGCCTAAATTGTTTATTTTTTGTTAAAGTTGTGTTGTACACGCAGAGACAACACATGGTTTTCATTATATCTAGTATTAAGTTTCCCGTAACAGAATTTGAAGGTGAATCACTACATGGTAACTGAGTATTCGTTATGAGAGGTACTGCGTGTAGCTTATGTGTTTACCACTAAAATGCGACTCTTCTGATGCCTCCATAGTAATCTTTATATGAGGCAAACTCAGATTTAAAAATCTGTGGTTTGATTTGTTTGTTTGGTGATAATCTGTCTTTTTTGAAAAGTATAATGTCCTTTCACTTTACTTTTTGAGGTTGACCATGTTGAGGGAACACCTGGATTCTGAACACAGAATTACCAAAATCAACTCCAAGGACATTGCTTATAACTTTGTTGTTAGTTGTTAGTTGCCCTTGAGTAGTAGGGTCTTGTTTATAACTAAGCCTGCTTAATTGTTGCGTTTTTACACAGTGGGATAAGTTTGGAGTGGTGTATAAATGTGTGCTCTTCTGAAATTTTATAATTAATATTAGATTAGCCTTGTCAAAGATATTTACGTGTTGTGTACTCATTTTTACATATTTTTTCTTCTTAAATTTTCTGTAACCAGCTAATAATGCAGTGGATTTTACAACAGCAAAATTCCTGCTTCAGGACTCTAAAAGTTTGTTACATGCTTTCAGTACAAGGTCAGATTATGATGGTATTCTTCCACAAGCCTTTGCTCAAGTTAACAAACTGCTCCAAACATTCACAGAGGTAAGACCCTTTGGAATGCCAAGTCAGAATCAAGTCAATGGCAACTAACAACAATAACCACATAAGTTCTAAAAATGTATTTAGAAGACAATAGTAGGTAAAGGATATTTTAATTCTAACTTAATTCCGTCATACTAAAGGCGGTAAGTAAATATTAAGAAGGGTAAGCAACTGTTACCATGAGTTACGAAACATTTATCTTCATAGGGAAGCTTTCACAGCAATTGTTGGGATTTTATATTATTTTATCTATGGGTAGAAGAAAGTTATGCATTATTGTTTGACCACTCATTCTCCAGGGTTCCAGACCAAGAGATGTCAACATGCATCAGAAACACTTAGGACGTTTTTTCAAACATGCAGATGCCAAGCCCCTCTCAAACCTTAATGAATAAAGTTTTTGGCAGTGGTACCCAGTGATGGTGTTTATGTTGTTTCACTTTTTATTTTGAAATGATTCCAAACTCACATAAAAGTTACAAGAATAGTACAAAGAATTCCCATATATATCCTTTACCCAGATTTCCCAAATGTTAACATTTTATCATATTGGTTTGTTGTTTTCTATCTCTCCACACTTTTTTTCTGAACTATTTGAGAGTTTGTTGCAGATATTGTGTCCTTTTACCCCTAAATACTTCAGTGTGTATTTCCTTAAAAACAAGGACATTGTTTCTATAACCACAGTACAAATAATCAGGAAGTTAGCACTGATATAATTGAATGACCTAATTAATCTATAGACCTTATTCAGACTTTTCCAGTTGACCTACCAATTTTTAAACAAATCTCTTCATGTGATTCTTATGCAGCCAACCTAGCTTTTTTTTTTCTTTTTTTTTTTACCTCTTTTTAATTTACCTATGTGAACTTTGTCCCCAGTTATACTCTATTTCTACAGCCTTCTAATTTTATGTCTAAAAAGTTTTGAGAATTTTATGTGCCAGGAACAGTACAAGAAACTCAATATCATGACTACTAGATGAGAAATTAATGAGAATTTCATGTAATACAGCTATCATATTACCTTTTTTCCTCTGAGGAACTGAATTGGCTAGATTTTTCTCATTGATTTTTCATGGCTAGATAGGACCCATTACCTGTCAACTAACCAAAGGATTAGATGATACTAAACTTAGTCATAGTTTCTGAGGAGAGAAGTTAGTTGCTAAGAGAGCATCTTATGGAGTAATAGAAATACCCTTTTCATAAACTAATAGGGAATATGTGGTAATTCTTGAGGAAAGAATTGATTAAAGGGATGAAATTAACCTTTGCTTTGAGATGACCAGTTCATTGACAGGAGTTTCATTCTTTTATGACAAGCGTGACTTTTAGAACTATTGGGAATGGATGCACCCAGAATTTAGGGGGTTGCAGCTTAAGTATTGTACTTGAAATGTTTTGGGAAAGTTACCTTATCCTTTTCCATCACATAATTGAGCCCTAAATCATATCCTTAATGAAACAAACAGTATACAAGATGGAAAGTTCAGGATACTTACAGGTTTAGGAATCTTGGAGTTAAGACTCCTAAGAGAATAAAATTTAACATTGACTGAGATAGAAAAAAATGATGTGAAGTTTTAAGCTCCTTTTATCAATTGGGAACACAGAGAGTTACCATGAAAATGTGTTGATAAAATCTAGTGTCTATCGGAAAATTGATATGCCTGTAATATACGGCCTACTGTGTATTTAAAAATACTGAATTGTTATTTAATACATTCTTTATTCCTGGGTCCTAAATTTCCTTTAACAAGAGGTTTGTAAAGGTGATTGGCAAAGAATCTAACATCCTTATTAGTTCTTTTCCCTCACCACTTGGCATTAGTGTGATTGCTTGAAACAGCCTGTGTTGTTTCCAGGATTAGAACTGTCAGTGTTGCTTGTTTATTTTCACGTTAGGAACGGTTCATTGTCTAAATCAGCCAGGACATTATGATTTAGCTTGGACCTTTTAAATATACTTTCAACAGGAGTTGTTGTTGTTGTTTTCAAATAATGTGTTTTATTTTTTGGTGAAAATATACACAGCAAAACATACACCAATTCATCAATTTCTACATGTAAAATTCAGTGACATTGATTAAATTCGTCAAGTTGTACAACCATTCTTACTAACCTTTTCCAAATTATTCCTCCACCATTAACATAAACTCACTGCCCCCTAATTTTTCATCTGACTTTTCGAGTTGCTGTTTTCAGTTTGATCCCATATAGATAGTTGTTCAGAAGAGTACAATGCTCAAGGCAGACATTCTTTACTAATTAAGCTGAACTATTGTTGGGTTTAAAAAAGACTTTAGGGGATATATTTGGTTTAAAGTTTAAAGATTATCTCAGGTCAGTAGTTTTGGGGGTTCATCCAGCCTCTATGGCTCCAAAAGGTCTGAATTCCATGAAAATTTTAAATTCTGTTGTGCATTTCCCCCCTTTTGATCAGGATTCTTCTATAGAATATTTGCTGATAATGTTCAGTAATGGTAGTTGAGCACCATCCAGTTCTTTTGATCTCATGCAAAGGAGGAAGTTGTTCATGGAGGCAATTAGACATGCATTCTATTTCATCCTTCTATTCCTGACTCTCCTTCTTCTGCTTTTCCAGGTGAATAGAGACCAATTATTGTACCTTGGATGGCTGTTTGCAATCCGTTAAGATCCCAGGCTCAACAGTAGTTGTTTTGTAGAATGTATTAGGTTTCGTATATGTCCTAAACACCAGGTAGTGTTTCAGTAATTGAACAACAAAAGAAATAGATGAACTGTTATTAAAAAAAAAAAATCTACCTAATCTTAATTTTTCATGTGTAGAAAATTAGGAAAGGAGGAATATTCATTATTTATTTGCCTCTGAGAAACTGAAGTGGAAAGATAACTAACATTACAATTTTCCACATTTTTATATAAATGGGGAAGGGGGAATAGGAAAAGGATATGTATATTTTTCTTTTATTAGCCTTCCAACTACCAAAACAGTAGGACTTGTTCTGCCAAGATGCTAGAATAATTAAAATCAATCATGTTAATAAGCATTAAATTTATGTGCCTTAGGATCCCCATCTTGACTAGTTTTGTTACTTAACCTCTTAGGAGCCTCAATTCCCTGTTTTGTAAAATATGTATAATAATAATTTCTGCCTCAGACTTGTCATGAGAATTTAATAAGGTAGTATTTGTAAAGCACCTAGTGCCTAACACATAGTTAGTACATATAAATGTTTGATAAAGAATGTTTGTATCATTGTATACTCTTCTTCTACTTGAGAGCTGAGGAAAAGAGGTATTAAGTATATGCTAGATTTCATTTTAAATGTATGTGATAATTAAAAAAAAAATCTCGGGAAAAAATGTCCTTCCATCCATGTGTATTTATTAAGTTCATAATTTAACATAAACAGGCAAAAATGGGAGCAATTATCTTTTTTATTCTTCCTGTTCCAGAAGATAGAGGATAATATTTTTCCAGTTGCAGAGAGATCATAATTTTATCCAATACGTTCTCTATTCTAGGCAGGAATTCCTACCCTGTCTCCTCTTCCATACTTGTTTTTCCTTGTTGGCAGCCCTAATTGACAGAGCTATCTGTTTGCATTTTTGTTATCAGTGAGACAATTTAGTGCAGTGGTTAAATGCTCACAGGCTGAACCTGTATTTGCTAAATGTCAAATCCTGTTCATGCCACTTACTATCTGTGTGACCTTGGATGAATTACCTCACCTCTCCATGCCTCAGTTTCCTCAGCTATACAATGTAAATAATCATAGTATCTGTTTCATAGGGTGGTTGTGAGGATTAAATCAGCCAATAAATGTAAAAAATTAGAATAGCTCCTGTATATAGCAAATGCTCAATAAATTTGAACTGTTATTACTAATAACATTGGAAATACACTTTTTTTTTAAATTAAAAAAGCCTGAACAATCCATGAAACTAACCTTTGAATTCATCCTTTTATTAACAAGGAAACTTAAGCCTAGAGAAATGGAGTGATTTATTTAAGCTCACAAAGTAAGTTACTATAGAGCCAAAACTAAAACCTAAGTTTTTAAACTTATAGTTAAAATTTCATTCCATTCTATCAGGCATTTTTTTTCACCTAAGTTAATATTTTTTCCCCAAGATGATAAGTTTTTTTAATCACTTAAATCAATACTATAGCTTTTTTACTCTGCCTTAGATGCTCAGATCTCGTCTATTTTTAAATACTGTTCATTGGCCATGCTATTTATTGCACTATCTCCTTCTTAAAAACTTCTTAAAAGAGCAATCTATAACCACTTTGTCCATTTCTTTTCTCACTTATTCCTTAATCCTTTACAAATTGAGTTCTATTCCATACTATTAAAAGAGACTGTTAGTTATTACTTGCTTTCTAATGATCAAATCCATCTTTTTCTACCTTCTCAACCTTTCTTTAGCGTTTGATGCTGTCCCCCTTTTCTTTCTTGAAAGCTGTCTGCCTTGGTTTCTATTGCCATTGAATATTTCGATTATTCCCCTGTTGTATTGATTTCTCTCTCTTTTCTCTTTTTGCTAATTCTCACCTTTCTCTCCTTCACATTGTCTATCCTTTACCTATTTTATTTTCTCTCTATTGTCCCCCAACAGTCTCATCTAATTCCAAGGCTTGTCTCCATGAGGATGATTCCCAACTGTCTCTTTTAAGCTGCTGATCTGTATATCCTATTACCTGCTAGTTATCTTCACGTAGATGTCTTTTTGTACCTCAAAATCAATATATCTAAAACCAAACTTATATTCTGCTCCTCCTCTTTTCTGCTTTACTACGGGGTGGCCATAAAGTTTATAAGCATAGAAAAATATACGTTAAATACTTGACTGCTATTACATTACAATATATAACATATTCAGTGTTTTGTCCCTCATCAGCAATGCGTAGCTCAATGTACTGTTTAAAATTGCAATGAATGCAGCACATTAAAATAGCATTTCATCAATTCATGCATATGTATCTGAGATAAATTGCTTCGAGTTATTTGTGTGCTTGATTTTTCACTGAATAAAAACCGAGCTTTTACATCCTCTTGTAGAAGTAATCAAGAAGCTTGATCTATTTAAAACACAACACACACACACAACACACACACAACACACACAACACACACAACACACACAACACACACAACACACACAACACACACAACACACACAACACACACAACACACACAACACA